GCAAAGCCCCCCCCCCCGGTGGGTTTATATGTCTTAAGTGACCGGGGAGGGGGGGGAGCCGGGTTTATTCACCTCAGGGGCGGTGTGAGGGCTCCCCTTCCCTCAGCAGGTGGGACACGTGTCTTTATAATTAATTTCCTCACTGTTTATCAAAAACGTGATGCTTGTAAGAAAAACCGGGTGCAAATAAACGTGAAAACCCCCCCGTTGAAACTCTTGTGGTGGCAAATAATGGCAGAAGGGGACCCCCGGGCTGCCCCCCGAGGGCTGGGGGCTCCAACCGGCCCTTGGTTTGGGGGGGCTCCCAGCAGAACCCCCCGCCAAGTCGTGTCCCCCGTTAGAGCAGCGTCGTAGTAGCTCTGCTGCAGCCCAGGCGATATGCAGATTGCAGCTCCTCTCTTCCCCGAATTTCGTCAAATATGTCATAAATAATTGGCTCAATGAAAGGCTAAGTCAATGACAAGTCTGAAGTTTAAACCTCAGCTTGTTTTGAGCTCTTTTCAAGTGCCGCCACTCCTCCTTCCTACATCTTTGTGCGAGTTAATGATCTGATTAAAAGCAAGGTAGAGTATACAGCTGGGAGGGTTTCATTATGAGCCGTCTGAGAACCCGCTTTTTTGTTCAAAATGTTAATTTAAACCGACGCTTTTCACCAGGACGGATCCATGGGGGAAAGTTTCTCCTCCGCCGGTGGAGTTCCCGAAGGCCACGGAGGAGGACCTGGGGCAGGTCCCTCTTGGAAGCTCAACGTCGACTTTCCCCACCAACCAGTTTTCCCTGAGCCGACTGATGAGATGGAAAAGGGGTTATTTTTCTTTTCATAAATAAAAGCTGGGTCTTGGGCTGCTTTCCCTGGTACCTCTCCCCCAGCCCGTCACTTGTCTGTGGAGCCAAACCGGCACGTACGGCTGTGCGCCCTCATCAACGCTTGTGGAATTACTGCCTAATTAGTTGTAAACACATAAATATACATGGTGCCCTGTGCTGTGGCGCACTAATCTACCAACCCATGGTCTGCACCTCATTTTAGAGCATTAAAATGTTTGAGTTTTAATGAGAAGGGCTGGCGTTGGCTAATGGTGGGTCCAAAACTCTTCGGCTCTGCTCTTCAAAGGGATATTCTAATTTATTTAACCAGGAGTAATCATCTGTGAGCCTGGCCATGTCCTTGGCCTGGTTGGGTGAGGAGACACGGGCGGTTTGGTGGCTCTTCCAAGGTGACAGCCAAGTCGTGGCTCCCACAGCTCCTACCTTCCTCCACCACTCGCAGGTATTTCCATGGAGAGAAGGGGTTTTCATCTCCCGAAGTGGTCAAGGTGCAAACACGGCGTTGCAGGGAGGTTCTCAGCTCTGGCCTGATGGCCTTGCTGAACACCACCATCACGATGTCACCCAACCACGGGGAGGAGAAAGCAAAGAGAAACCCCTAGCACGGCCTCGCCAAGGAAGGCTCTTTCATTTTCCAAACTATTTAAATGAATTCACAGTGATGACGATAGCGATAATGGCCACAAAAACGCCACTTAGGGTTCACAATGCTCTCCTTTTTATTCCTGCGCCAGGTTTTTTTCATTATTGTCTGGATGTTATCGTAATGTGCGCTTCGGAGGCGTTCTTGGTGGCAAGTTCTAGGTGATGGCTGATAGAAAAACCCAGCTAAGAAACTTGTTATCTTCGTTCCATCTTCATGTTTCCTCTGGTGCTGGCTGGTGTGGCGGCAGCAGCTGGAACCAAAGCAGCAGTGGGTTATAAGAAAAGGTGTTTCCCTCACCACTTATTAAAAAAGTGTATTTTCGGTGCAGTGGGAAGGGGTGGCACGATCCCACAGCTGCCCCTGCGCATCCCTTGCGGAAAAGTGCAATTCCCCAAGAGCAAATCTGCAGCTTTTCGGACCATTTGGCTGTATTTCGGGTTTGGCATTTGTATGGATTGCATGTGAGGTTTGATTTTGTGTGTGTGTGTGTTGTTTTATGGGTTGTGTGTCGGTTTCAGTGTTTGTGTGTTGGTTTCGGTGTTTGTGTGTCGGTTTCGGTGTTTGTGTGTTTGTTTCACTGTTTGTGTGTCGGTTTTGGTGTTTGTGTGTATCGTTTGTGCCTGTTTATAAACAGGGCTCTGTGTGTGTATTCCCCTGGGTAAAGGAAACCCTGAATTAATCAATGCCGAGGTTAGCAGAGGTCAGAAGACGATCCACTCACGCAGGCTCTGAGTGCATTTGAGTATCTCCTGACATTTCCGTGGATGCTGGCTGATACTGTTCAATCAATTTAAACGTGTCTCAAGGCCCGTCTGGGTTTTGCCTCGCATCCATCGCTGAGCCGACAAACCCTCTCTGCCTCCCCTCTGCTGCTCCTTCCTCCCCAGGAGCGAGCATCTCCTACCATCTGTGGAAGATTTAAATGTTTAATTTTTTTGCACCGCTCGGCTCGGCAGGACGACAGATGATGCTGCAGCGAGGAGCGAGGCTGAAGTCGATTTATGAGCGCGCCCCCTGCGCTGACGCCATCCCATCAAATGGTGCAAAAATAATGGTGCAAAACGGCACAGCAGGAGGGAGGCGAATCCGCCCTGCTGCCCTCCAACCTGGGGCAGATCCGATCACAAATAAGGTCTCTGCTGCCGTGCATGGCTAACGCTAACAAGGTACCTCGAGTGCTCTCATAGAAGGTTATTAAATGCTATTTTTTAAAAATAGTCCTAATATATCACCAGAAGTGCAACATAGTTTGAGATTAAGAGCATTAAGCAGTGTTTTCCTCTGTTCCCTACAATGAGATGCTGCTGTCTGCAGAGAGAGCAAGCCAACGGCCAGGAATCCTCCACATTCCTTGCTCCTCCTCAGCAGCACTGGTAGGGAATGATATACTTATCAGTGATGGATCCCGATGGGATCCCCCTCTCCGTGGCTTGTTTGTGCAACAACCAAGCAGAAAGGTTATGTTTTGCTGCTTCCCCGACTTCTGATGGTATTATCTGGGGCTTGACCTTGTGCTTGGCTAAAGGGAGAGGGCAGAAATCCCTTCTCTGTGCCGCCTCCACCAGGCTCCTCTCACCAAAGTGCTCCAAATCAGCCTCCGACCGCAGGGTTACCTGGAGGTGAAGCACAGGAGCAGCAGCTCCTGCTTAATGAGGTTGTGTGAGGATTCATTAGTAAGCAACGGTAAAGTGCCCGGAGGGCAGTAAGAGATAAATAAATGCAAAGTATTCTCAGCAAAAATTAGGCAGTCTGCTGCCTTTTCCCACTCGTGCCCCGCAGCAGAGAGAGGAGGGTGCAGGGAGTCACTGCTCCCCACGCTCACTGTGCGGGATACAGCAGAAAGGGATAGTTTTAATCCCAAGGAAACAGCTTCTGAGGCTTTTTGGGTGTGTGGGGTGGCTTTGTCCCCTCTGCCCACCCGTGGGGCACAGAGTGGGAAGGGAGGCACATCCAACCCCCGCAGCCGGGCATTCCTCTGCAGCCTCCGCACCGGGGCTGGAGTCGCATCCCATCTCCTTAATGCTACGTTAATAAGCAGCGAGAGGCAATGTGGAAAACAAATAGAGTAATTAATGGCCATTTCTGCTGCTGCTTTTATTCACTGACTATTCCAGAAGGAGCAATTTTGCAGAAGACAGCCTCTGCCGTCGCAGTGCCGTTGCATTAGGTACCCTGGATCTCAGGAGGGGAATGAGCACTGCAGCTCTGGCCTCCTGGAGAAACACAGCAGCTCTTCTGCTGCTCCACAAATTCATCCAGCTTCCTCCTGGATACTCTTAACGAAGGTACTTCAACCACCTCTGATAGGTAGAGTATTCAGTGTAGTTTGTCATACATTCCTTTCTTGGAACTAGCTGACACGATGAGTTAGGAAACAAATGGCAAATAAATCCTCAAAAATATTATTCACCATCAAAGATTTGCATTTGAACAGTCTGGGTGGTAATGGTAATGTCCTCTGGGGACAGAGATAAGGACAGAGTTGAAAGCCATGCAACATCTTGAGTCTTGCATGAGAAAACAGGGGCACGAGAGGAATGGATCCTTTGGTTTGCCGTCGCTTCACACCATTTCTCTCACCATCGGGTGCCGTCGCTTCACACCATTTCTCTCACCATAATAATAAAAATATTTTTCAGACATTTTCCTCTTCACGTTTTCTTTAACTAAGATGCCACATAAAGATGTCGTGTTTGCTGTCTCTCTCCTTCCTCAGCCCATACCTTGCCTGTCTCCAGTTCCTTATCCGAGGATGCTGTTTTCTCCACGGCTGCCTGAGAGCTGGACAGATGTGTCCCAGGTGTGCTCACAGAGCCTCCTGCCATTTCTTTAAAATTTTGGGTTTTTTAAACGGGGGGAATTTAGAAGAGTATCATGGTCTGTCGCAGG